TTATAACGTAAAGCCCATTGGCTACCATAAGCTACCATAAGTTGCCGAAGTATCATATTACCAATCCCAGATATCTAATAACTAGACTGCGTATTTTTATAAAAGAGTTAGAAACACAAAAATGCATAGAATGCACGTAATATGCAAGCAAATTGGATATAGAAAATATCCAAAGTATAGCACGCTTTATAACATTCGCTAGGTCCTATTCTTTTATTCGTATTCATGAAGATGTGAATTCGTATAAAAATTCGCAGTCTGGTAATAATAAGTTTCGATAAGTTGGGCATGTTCGCGTAAGTGCGCCACCTTTCTCTGTAATTAAGGTGATCCCGAGCCGTCAAAAGCGTGCAATTACAGAGCAGTAAAAAGAAAGCTACGCGATAACCACGTAATAACCGTTAACGCCATCAGATTTTAATCACGGAAGCAGAGTCGCTACCCCAGCTCCTGGGTTAGGCTACGGCCACGAACCACCATAAACTATCCACTTACTAGACACTCACCACGCGCTCCATCTACCAAACTGTACGAAGAACCTCCTCCCACTCTACGGTTCGATTAAATCCTCGTCTATAAAACCACACGGCTACCTGAAAGCCAGTTTCGATCGTGTCTATCCGTATCGATCAGCGGTTCTGATTAAAATGGTTCGGAGAAGCATCGGAGGGGACGACCATGAAGGATTCGGGAGCAAAGCAGCTCAGTGGAGCAACTTATCTCGTTCATGAGATAATGTTCGAATGGATTAAAGCAGTAGACATGTATGCCTGATGCAAGGATAGTGGCAAATGACGATATGGTTCAGAAAGGAAGAGATAGACGATGCAGGTACCGAAACCCGTGAAATCGTTTATCTCAATTCATGCAGGTGGCAATACACGTTCGAGGCTGTGAAACGTTTCACGAACGTCGTTACCCTGATTGCTTTTCGTCGACCAAAAATACACACCGATTTCATTGTCTCTTGTCTGTATTTGTTAACTATTCGGAATAAGGTACATCTTAATTAGAAATTATCCTTAGATAAGAATAGGGTACATTTCCGATGATCTTGTAGATATGTTGTCAAAATCAAGATTCTGAGTATCGTCTTCTTACGTGCGTAACCCTCAGATAATGCGTTCGAGTGCACTTCTCGTCAATTGTTCGATTTCATTAGGACACGTTTAACCAAATTGGCAAGAACATACAGCGAGAGTAAAAGCATTCGATGTAAATGGTCATCGAGCAACTGCTTCCTCGACTCTAGTAATAAACGCTACAAGAGACTCTTCGACACGGTCATCAAACGCCAAGTGGTGAAAGGATGCTAGTTTACACCTTAGTTTTACCAAAGCGATAGAAGAACGAAAGGAAATTGCTTGTTGAAAGGAAGCACCGAAACTAAAGAACAGATAATGGCTACGATAGATGCAAGCTGAAAAACAAATACAGCTATAAAATTAATCGAAAACTTTATCGTAATTACGAGAACTTTATCGCCGTGTGAAGGAGCTCTTACCGATTCGTTTAACGACTAGACACCTATGAGAACGGGTGTGCCCCGTTTCCCTCCTCGTTTTTGTAAACAGAAGCACGGCGGTCGAGAATGTGTTTATGATCGATAACTCTTGGAAATCGTGCAGCGTCGAGCGTGTTGTTCAATATTTAACGCACTGTCCTAACCTCTTTGCGCCGCAGTCGAGCGCAGCAGCCGGGACGACATGAATTTGAGATGGGATGAAAGTAAAATCATCTGACAACGACGCCAGCGTTACGATTGAATTAACGTCTGCGTGGTTGAAACGTTTACCCTAGCGAGGGCGTTTGATAATTTAAGAGCCATGAGCGAAGCGGAACCATCGACTGTTAATGGAAATCGAAGAACGATTAGACAAATTCGACAGGATAATGGAAAGACGGCGGAAACGAGTTATTGATCCTGGAATGATAGTACACTGCGATCTTTCATGTATTAAGTAACGTGTTTATTTTTATTGAAATGTATGTAATTTTGTACGCTATACCAGAGCAGCCGCATAGTGTGATAGTGTGTCGGGTTTACATTAGAATTAGGGTTAGGGGCGTGAAACGAATCTTCGTTTGGGTTACACGTTGTCGTTATGCAATAGAGAAGACATTGACTAGTGCAAATACGATTGTTATAGAACCGGACAAGTAACCGTGGTAGTTAGGTACTCGAGGAACTAATGACAATGATCCTAGGTTCAATAACGAATCCGCGATCGACGGGATGATAGGTGAACGTACTCACAAAATCTAAGTCGGATGCGTAATATTCACTGGTCGTAAGGGGTTACTCTTCTTCATCGATGAGATCGCGAGCGGGAATGACTTTCCCGTCCCGATGATGCCACAGAGGAAAACTATATTGGGGTGTGTCTAAGGACACGAGATCATCGGATTCGTTGAGAAAAGCCTTCGTTCAGAAAGTAAGGGAAATTGGCGTTGCTGCTAATTGGTCAATCTCCATATCGGTGGTTAGGAAAAGATGCTAGCCGCCCTCGAGGGAAAGTTGCTAGTGGGAGACGCCGCTCGTTGAAAAATCTCCTCTATTTTCCCGTAGTTGGGACAAAGACTGTTTGTCTGTTTAAAGGACTTTAGTTGACTAAATCTTAAGATTTATAACAGGCCCTCGGGCTAGCTGAACATGTACTGCGGAGACGCATCGACATCTGGCAATCATCTTATTCGAAGAATGGGGTCTGCGTGTGGCGAGCTACGGGACAGAGACCGTTGGAATGTTTACTGTCGAGTGTTACAACTATTTCCTTTTCAAGGAGAGCTATTATTTATTATTAATTATTCCATGCCTTTGTTAGACATGGCGTTCATCGCGTGACCGCGGCTGCGTTCGGCGACTCGGCGCCGGGCTGCCGCCTCGAGCCCAAGCTCATTATCACAACTCTCGAACAATTACAATCGGATTGAATAACTACAATTGTTTAATTACAGCTATACTAGACTCTAGGTTACAATGTTGCGGGATTAACCAAAATTCCAAAGACTCCGGTGTTCTTTCATCTCCGACATATATAAGTATATGTGTGTGAGTATATGCGTGCGCAGCATCTCGTAAAACAAAAGAGTGTCACTGTTCCGTACGCAAGGTAAAAATTGAAAGCAGAAGAGTGCTGAATGGGTATCTATGAACATCTTGTAAATCACATATTAAATAAATACAAAACTATTTTATTATCGTCTCTACATGTAATGAAAGTGTTGCTACGTATTTATTTCCGCGATTACGATCTACAATTCTCGATAATTTTACATGAAGTATACACATTATATATGAGGGTGTGTTGGTAAATTTTCGTAAAATTTTTTACATATTCGAAATGTAGATAGCAAATTATTGTTTCGTAATTAGCAGATCATTTTACAAGAGGACCATAGAAGTGTGACGTGTGACAATCCAAAAGAAACAATGCGCTATTCCAACGTTAAAAACTTAACAGGAATGCGCGAAATTACAGAAAGAAAGATTCGAATGGTATATATATATATACTATATATATATATATATATCTATGAACGATAAAAATGACTCGGTAAAAATGGCCTGGTAGAATGAATCCACTATATCTCGCGCTAATGAAAATTTAAAATGGAACTACAATCGCTTTAATGAAACCTATAAATATACGCGGAACGGTTTAATCGAAACAGACTGTGAGCCAGTCGTATCCGTTTTATAAATATAGAACAAATTTGATCGGCGAACGTAGCGCCATTCCGAATGAAAGCACAACTGTCTCGATCTATTCTTCGATTTGTGTTATTGTCCCGTATCGAGAAACGTATTGCAGAAGGAAACGCTAGCTTTACACTTGCATGTGTTGTCCACGATTATTAGCCGCCTTGCTGCGTAATCCTCTCTTCGATATGTTATAGGACACGCTACCGTAAACGCACAAACAAGGGATACGATTTTATCTGATGCAGGTGGTGTGGAAAATGCACATCGATAAAATAGAAATTCATATATGAAGACCACAGAGAAAACATAATCAGTTCATTTTTATCGGTCTTCTGATTTTTACGTTAATTGGTGGTTAAAGAGATGTATTTCAATGTGAAATAATTGACACAAGGATAAGTTAAGGCAAAATCTATGAATTTTTAAGAAACCAAAAACTATTTAACGTAATCGTAAAACTAAATAAGGGGATAATTTGAAATTAGTTGACAGTATAATAGAATTAAAAAATACCCTTTTCATATTTAAAAACAGAAGATACGATTTATCATAATGCTCCTTTGTGATCTTACGTCGGCGAATATGAGTGTGATTTGAAGACACAACATCTAAGAGATTGAAATAGTACTATATATAAATGAAATTGGCAGTGATATCACGCTTTTATTCGAACCTTATATAACCATTAGTAATTAAGAGCAAAGTATCGGTTAATTAAAACGGCGCTATGTTTCAGTGTTCTCGTGTTTTCTCTTGCCTTCGGTCGTCGAAACGACCTAAGCAAACGCAACTATTTTTCGAACTGGTACACTTAACGAGCAGCGACGGTACAGAAATTGACTAACACTGGCGAAGATAGACAGAAAAAACGAAAACGAGGAGGGAAAGATTTCTAGAGAACTTGAAAGAGATTCGAAGAAGGTTCCGATAAAAAGGAAGGCGAGCTCTACTCGACGTACGGACAGCCAATCATCGAAACTTTTGTCTACAACCTCCTCGAGATGAGCCGTGGCTCATTTTCAGCGAGTAAAAACGACTAAAGATGGCGTTGCTCCGTAAGAATCGGTAACGACTCGATCGGTAAGCACGTTCGGGTCAAGTGTGTACCATCTCTGCGAACTTTTGCTAACGACAATACACCAAGGCGGAGACAGAAGTCATTTTTCTCCTCTTCTTTTCTTTTTCGACCATCTCTTCTTTCAACGCTGACGAAAGCTTATTACGGACGGTTGAAGCGAGTGTCAAGTACTAGCTGAAAGCTTAAACCGTCGTTGTGACACAATAACAGCTCGAGATTTTCCGTTTCAGGTGTCTACGGTCGTGCGTTGTTTCACACGTCGAGTGTACATGATGAAGCATATACACAGAAGCAAAGGGGGCGCGCGAATTGCACGAGACAACAAATCTGTCGATCCAGTTTAGCAACTGCACTTAACCTATTTTCGTCCGGAAATTACATCGGTAGGTGCGTGTTATTACTATGCGAGAACGTATTTTATAAAAAATTGAAAAATCGAATTTCCGAGCGGCGGAAAAGCGGATTTCTTGCCCTCGTCCCATCATTCGGGGGCTGTGCTTCGTTCACTACCGACCGAACAAATTAAGGTCAATACGGAGGGGGCTGTATTTTCAGCAAAATATTCCATCGTTCGTATCGTCGAATCTCATCGCGGATCGATGACGATAATACCGCTGTAATTTATTACGCTTGACCGGGATATATATCGAAATTCGACCTCCACGTTGTTAAGCAAAATGGAAAATTGAAAATAGGAATTCGTTTGCATCGGTATCTCATATTTCTTATATGTATCTATCTACGTTTTCTTCTACCCACAACTATACGCGCACGCATAAATTTCAGGCCACACACATCTCTACGTATTATATATCTCGATTGAAAACACGATCGTCATCGTGGATGAAGAATCTCCGGTTACCAGTTGAGTTACAGCCGCAACCACCGCTTTTTCATCAAAGAAATCTCTTAACGTGTCATTGAATTAAAAACGATGACATTTCACCGTTCACGGATCGGCGTGTATTTTTCTCGGCATAAATATCGTTCGTAACTCGAACGAGGATCTGGAGAATCGTTCGTGCATCCATATACACGCTGTACATATATGCATATATATGTGCAATATACAGACAAACGTGTATGCTCCATAGAGGGACCGCCATGGAACACTTGAAACGGATTTTCAGCGGAGAATACGGCGCAGTTAAAACAGTGACGACAGCTTTTAATTGAGGCTAGGACGCCAAGTGAAATATTGGAATTAATCGCGAAACTTGCGTCGGCTAACGAACGAAGAGAGCTATCGAGTTAGATCAGTCAACGAATAATGGAAGAATCGATACAATGTCGCTCCATTGACGTCGCCGTGTTTTCATTCCCCCTCGCCTATATCGTTCAAAATACGAAATTCATCGCGGTTTCGGGTAAAGTTATTGATACAATTTTTGAGGGAAAAGTGGATTGTTTGTTCTCGACGCGCTCGATGATGGCGTGCTAATCGTTCGTGTAAAACGATTATATGGCGTTCAAAGTGACTTAAAGCCACCAAAATTATTATTATTTTATTGCTTGTTAATGACGATTCTATCTTTTCGAGTTTAACGAGTTTACAACTCTCGCAAACGTAATGAACGATTTCTATGAAGGATAACTCATTTGTCTTATTACGATTTAACGAAGTAGTTATTTACTTGACAATCTGTTATAATGACAGATGTATTATTTCAGCGAACAATATGGCTGACTTATTTTTAATGTTGCGGTCTGTTTGACTCTGATGACGATGATTGACAAGCTAACAGGTATAATATTAAATATATTATTTCACCAACAAATAATATAGGTAATATAACTTATTTATGGGTTTGTAATTTGCTAAAATCTGAGGATAATTGAGGTTATACTTTTTACAATTCGCATTAATGAAGGAGTAAGATTACAATTGTAAAATTTTCTCCTTCTAAGAACTATAAAACGTAGGTGAATCTACACGTTTTACTCGATTTGAAAGATTTAAAATTCCATGAAATTTTTAAGTTTCTTCTATATAATATCCAATGATGTTTTGTCTCGTTACAGTGTTTCAAGGACTTTCGTTGCAACAGGATGACTGTCGTTTTCATTGGAAAGTAAGTGATTTAAAGAGCTTGTAAATTAAGTTGGCATTTGCAAGATTATCGATACAGAACAATTGTTTCAACGAATTATATGGGTATACGGTATGAATGCAAAATGGGCCAGATATATAATAACGTACTTAATCAATTTCGAGGGTGAACGCATCAGATCGTCAAGCTTCAATGTAAAATCTCGTCTCGCTTATCCGACGGCGACAAGTGAACGCACGCAATTTGGCGCTGTCAGCCGGAAACGCGGGATTTTCAAATTTTAATCGAATCCGTCTCGCCCGCGCGTTTTCCGTCGATTAAACGCTTTACAAGCACGGACGGCCGCACGTCCTCCGACGAGGGGAATATTTCATTGGCCGCGATCCTGCATAAAACAGCGCGAGAAAACGAATTACTCTTGCAAGCTGACTGAATTGCGTACGATACATTAATAATAATACGTTAATACGTCAGTCATCGAATAAATAAAATCGCGAAATTAACGAGTAGTACCGAGTAATTTCGTATTTCCTTTTAATGATCATTTAACGAGTCATATCGTCAAGGGTTAAAAATTTATGATTGGCAATATGTTTCGCGAAAAAACAATATGCATTTATTAAAATTGTAAGGCATTTATGTTCCACATTTTTTGCAGTTATTGCTATTTGAAGGTAATACTGGTCGTGATGGTTTAGTTTTTGATAAAACCTCGCCATAGCCTCGGGCGAGGAATATTTCATCGGAAAATGCGAAAAATCCCTAGAAATGATTAAACATTCGAATAATATCAACAGCGACGCTAGCCACCTGTTTGGGCCGCATTTTTTCCAATTTCGCGATTCTCTAGCTGTAGAATAAAGGATGATTGCCTACAAAATAAACAATTATTACAATACAACAGTTCCAACGTGTCATTTGACCATTCAAAGAAACTAGTTGCAGTGCTAGTGAAGCGTCTAGATAATATCCCTATTAGACACAGTTCGCTCGTAGAAGTCTCAAGTAATAACAAACGCAAGTTAGTGCGATTAGTATATTACTGGGCAAGCTTTCTAAATTCACGAATACATAAGAAACAACCATGTTGTTTAGCCATCATACGAGAAGAATAACAAAATCATCCATGCGCAAAAAAGAAGTCGAAGAATGATTCGACAATGCGACAGAGGATATAATAGAAGTCACGTGACGTACGTTCGTCGACGAGAGCGCCATCGGAGATCCGTATGCGGCCACGGGTCTATTCTCATTCCGTTGAAACGATATCCACGGCATAGTAATGAAAACCCTGTTTCGTTTCCTATGCAAAGGACCGGCGCGTACTTTTAAACGTGCCGTAATAATACCTTACTAGAAGCAATTAAGTGCAAATACAACCGATTGGGATGAACGTGCGCACCGGCGGATGCATTCAGGGGGTTAGGACGTGGAGATAGGATGGACACGGAGGAAGTGGCCCAGGAGAGGAGGGAGCGAAAAGAGGAAGGGACAGAGAGGATAGAGAGAGGAAGGCAGATCGGAAATTGCTTCGAGCATGCTCGCTCGCAATAATACCACGCCTGGCTATGTGTGTGTGTGTGTGTGTGTGTATGTGCACGTGTGTATACCACAGTCTGGCCCTCTATGTGTAACTACACGTACATACGTGCATATCCGATGTGTAGCTATAGGTATTTGCGTATCTATATATATATGTATAGGCATACCAATACCAGAATACGGTAAGAACAAAGCCGACGGCAAATGACAGCAGTAATTTTCGCAAACTGTTGTGGGATGCGCGCTGTGGCATTCAAGAATACCGTGGCGTCGTTGCCGCTCTTCGAAATGGTACTACTTTTCCTTTTCTCTTACATACATTCTTTCTTTGACGCCTTCATCTCTCACGCTGATGATCCTCACAACTTACAGGTTTCTTTTCTGGCGGCGTGGTTTCGCTTTTTGATACCACGGTCGATAAGTAGCAGACGCTTGAAGACTTAAGAAGAATTTTATTGATGATTTAACGAGCTTAATTTGGTAGTATTTGACAGTTTAATTTGAGTAAGAATATTCAACGTCGAAGGTAAGAAGTTCGAAAGCTCGGGGAACTTCATGAAAACCAATCAGGCAGAATTAATCCGAGGGCAATGTATGTCAATAGACGTGACTGGTTCTTGTAAGGATTTTTCAATTGGTTAAGTATGTATTTAAATCTTGACAGATCCGTTAAGGCATTTCTATTTTATTCTACGATTTATTTCTATAATCTTTTCTTAATGTTTCGCGTGAATCATTTCGCCGTCTTCCATTTCATCTGACTCTGTTTCCACGAGTTGTTCTTTGCATTCGACGACGGCACTTTGTTTCCTTTTTTCCCCTCATCGCTCTATTTCTTACTTTGTCGCTTCGTTCTCCGTCTCTATCGTGCGTTCATTTGTCACACTCGCGCTGCTAAGCCGCATACACATGTGAGCACGCGTTGGTGGTACGGTGTGTACGGTAAAGCTGGATTTACGCTTCAGAAGGATCGGAATCTGTGGGAAACCGAGCGTCCAATTGACCGGCCAACTGTTACAGCACCCTTGATTCTCCATAGATTCGGATTCGAGATCAAGGCGCGAAAGCCGCGCAATGAATATCCGACCGCACATAGCCATAGGATAAAGGAAAGTCCAGAAAATTTTGCGGTGCGACGCTCGCGAACACGTCTCATTTATCCCCCTTTTTCCGTGATTGTTTGTATGCAGCGATGGTTAGCCTAAAAAAAAGCACTAGGAACCAGGAGCGTACAGAACGAGGACGATAAATTTTTCTGGTGTGCGGGAAAAACAAAGGGAACACGAACCAACGCTGTCTCTCTCTCTCTCTCTCCCTTTCTTTCTCTCGACGAATTTCTCCTCGTAACAACCGAACAATGAAAAAAATGCAGTAAAAAAAGAGAGAGAGGAATGAGAGACGTTTTTTAACGACGAGCCACTATGTATATCACAATCACGGATTTAAAGAAATTTCGATGAAACGACAACAATCTTGATCATCAGGGATAAAAGAAAACCCGCTGATCGTAAATATTTCGTTTCGTCTGGGAGCACGTGTGATCCATTATTCAGGTGAGCACCTCCGACAGCTTATGCTGCAATAACTAAATAATGCCGCGCATTCTTCCGCGTGCGAGCATCGTTGAGCCTGGAGAAAGCCTTAGCCCGGGGAACGCTCGTAGCATTAAGTCGTCGGATGTCGATGCCAGGCCAGCCGGCCGAGAGAGGAGAGCCTAGTATATATGCGGTGTATCTTGGCCATGCAGAAGCGCGCGCGTGCAGCTGGATGCACTCGCGTGCCGCCACGTAGCCAATCACGTAGCACCGCACAATACGCCGTGCCAGGGAATAATGCCCAATTTTACACGAGGCAAGATTGACGGCCGTATACGTCCTTATACAGGCGAGACGAAATCGGCTTAAAAGTTTCAAAACTTGCCTGAGGCTGTGGCAAGACAAGGAACCAACGGAGTACTCTCGAGGTAAAGCGAAGAAAGACAGGCAAACTTGAAAGAGACAGAGAAGGAGGCACCGGGATCGAGAGAACGAAAAAGGGAAACCTTATTTACCTTACGTTATATAGAAAGATAGGTATACATATGTCGGTATACACGCAGAAGTACGTATCCCCTCTTCCAGGGTGGTACGGCTTCATCCATGCGTTAAATTCCTCCGGGGGATTCTTCCTCTTTCCTTGATCCTTCTCTTTCTCTTGTGCTCTGTGTTTCTCGACTGCCCTCCCCACTCTACAGCTACCCCTAACTTCTGTGCTCTTCTCAGTTCACTCGTATCCACTTGCAACAGAACAGACCACTACCGCCACCTCCTCAGGCAAGAGGTGTCTGTCTCTCTTTCACGGGTCTCCTTTTGCTTTCAGTGCAACAACTTTGATAGGGGCAACAGCTCCAGGTATTTCCGATGTATCGTTCGTAGATCGCGCGGTAGGAAGAGGAGAACGGAGGAACGAAACCGGGAAAAAGAGTTTTAATTTCTTCGGGAGCTCGCGGTCTGGCATCCGTTCGTTCTACACGTGGAAAACCGTGTAAAAGCGGAACACAGCCGAAGGGGAACGGTGAACTGGAAGAAAAGTTACGTGGTAACGTAAGTGAGGTATTGGCCGAGCTGCAATTCCGATCGGACCAATGAATTATTTTTACTGATTCGAACGTATTACCGACACAGATGGCTCCTCGCTCGAAAGTCTGCCGCGCAGAGAGGTTCTTCGGTTGGGAACGATAAATGTCGCCCGTACGGCGATTATTCTGCCAATTGCGAACACGGAGCAACCGTTGTAGCGTTGTATCGAAGAACGAATGGTATTTCGAATCGTCTTAACATTTGTCTTGCTTTTCTCCAATTTGGTACGATCATTGAAATTAATCAAATGCCAATATACATGCAATGGCTACGGAAAATATTTTGCCATTTTATTGATCATGACATTTACGTATTATTTAATTAGGTTCCAGTATATTAAATTTTGTATCGCTATTAAAATGAAACGTGAAAGTTGGTAGGAAAACGCTTTATTCAAAAATAAGCAAATACTTTTTGTAGCCACTATATTAAGTACAATGTGCATAGCGAATGTAAACGTTTCTCTTACATAGAAAGGAAATGTTTAATCAATGATGCCATCTTATTTTATGTATTTACGTATTATTAACTAAAGCGATTACTAAAAAACCTTCAACCATTTCTTTAAAAGGAAAGGAATAAAAGAGAGATTGCAAGATATACAATCGAGAAGGGTCGCACAGAAAGCATCCACGTGAGCCACGAACAAGTCACGAGACACGTGATGACCAGCCAATAAGATTCCACTACTATATTAAACCTTTTAGGAGCCGCTTAAGTCGCGCATAGAGTGACAAGCACCTGCCCTCGTACGACTGGATATACGAGGGGACGTCAGGTTCGTTCTCCTTTATATTCGAGCTGCTTTTTTCATTCGGCTAACTCGTAACCTACAGCATTCGCATATTCAAAAAGTAGAATAGTCTGTTACCTGTACTACTTTTAACGGCTCGCTGAAACACTGCTACCAAAGTAGAACAAATTTTTACTGCGATCCGTTACTTATAGTTGAATAGCAAATTTAATCCGCATGACAAATATCAAACGATTGCATTTCCAACCTTTATTCTACTGTTCGAAAATTCTCTGCGAATTAACCCAGTATAGGATATAAATACACGCACGTATGTATTTACTGTGCAGTAAATCATTTCATTAATCGATGACATATCATTCCAAATGGATGGCTTCTTAATTTTAACGTTGACTGCACTAGCTCTCTGTGACGTGTTTGACGAATACAAAACCTACACGAATAAACGGCACAGCAATGAATAATATAGCATAAAATTCCAATCAGAGAAGGTATTCGAAATGAAAAACACACTGAATAGCAACTACATATTTTGATTCTATCATATGAAAAACAATTGAAATGCGAACTCATTTTTCGCCTACCGTGCCTATAAATTTCACAAGAGAAATATAGTATGGATTATTATAAACAGTATTTGTCTCGCTTACTGAGCGGACGTTTCATTATTTAAAAAAGGTTTCGGAAAATTTTTATTCTTGAAAATCGACCACCTTCCTTATGGCAATTTTAAACAAAATAAAATTTATGATATCTTAATTGGTATAGAAAATTTATTAGTACAACGAGCGTCTAAAATATTAAATATTCCAAGATCCATTGATATTTAAAAAATGAAATAAAGCCAAAACTAAAAACATCTATATATGGAACAAAATGGAATATACGAACGTGTTGGATCTAATAGTTAAACGTTAAAAACTGATAAAAGGCCAGTAACGAAGTGGCTTTCCTTCGTTCTTTTGTCTTCTTGTTCCTCTTTTTATGTGCAATGGCAAACGTATCTGCGCGATACGTTGGCAAAGTCAATCTCTGACGGTGCATCAAACATTATTTGATCTATGGCCTCGATTATCCGTTCCGATTTAATTCTCCGCTTTCCACGGGGCACAAAGTATTCGGCAAACAGACCTATCCCGCGAATAATCACGTTCGCGTCCAGTTCTCCCCGCCGGAACACAATTTCCCCGCCTTCGACGCAATTTAATTAAAAACCTGTATTTTTCCGTCAGGATTATCCTTGCGCTCTTTGTTTCAATTCCAAAGACTGTTCCTTTGGCGGACCGCGTATTCAGTAGTCCGAGGCAGGGAAAAAGGACCAAGACAAAGCTTTTCTCCGTGAAGACACGTACCAGCGCGCTTCTGTGCTCGCTCCGCCAAAGTTCAAATTAAAAAGAGGAGCAAAGACAAAAAAGAACAAGAGAAAAAGGAAGAAAAGAAAAGAAGTCACAGGGAAGTAAGAAGGAAAAAAGGAAGAGTATACAGCGGAAAGAGTTTACGTATGCACGCGTATGAATCTTTCATGCAATTTTCTTCGGTATGCATAAGTAGATACGCCTTGCAACAGTTTCATAACGTTACCGATATGAATTATAAATATACAGCGCTAAGTATTAGATCACCTGGATTCGTATAAGATGCGAACCTGGTTCACGACGTCGATAAATTAATCGTGATTCTGTGCTCGCGCGAGTTGACGGTGATGATATCGTTGTGCTATCATATTCATTACGTACGTTCTACTATCGTACAATCGTATTCATAAGAAGAATATATTTGCAAGAATTATCGAAAAGAACTTGTATGAATTAGAAGCGAAATTCAGCAACGATTATTTCAAATCCGCATTGAAATTCGGTACAACTGATGATACGAGTGGTAGAATTGATTAAAACAATGACCAAGATGTATAGCGGATATAAATAATGGAATTATTCGATGAAATATTGATTTTTAGAATGAGAAACGCGACTTGTATTGGGTTTTGTCAATACCACCTAATGACAAAATTCGCAATCACTTAGTTGCCAATCCAATATCTTTCCACCGTGATTCTCACTTATGAACGACGGCGTATACATCCAAGAAATTCGATTGAAAAAGTTGCTTCTTGCGCGAAGGAACTATTTGTCCAGTTCCCACGTCCGCGACAATCCTAACCAGGAGAGATAGATGATCCTGGTAATTACACCAGAAAATACCATGTACGTGTGCGCGGTCACTAGCTTCACGGCCACGCATGCGCACGCGCAGGATGCGTATCAGCTATACCGCGATTCCATTTACGGCGGGACGCGACTCGTTAACGCGCGTACGCTGGAACCGCGCACGAATGATAATTAGCTTGGCCCCTACAAAGCCTCGCTATGTGCATCGCCTGAATCTCTCGATGCGTTCTTGTAATAAGGAGAACTAGGTGGAGTAGGAGGAAGAGGAGGTGGAGTCGAGGGAGGACGTAGAAAAGCCGTGCTCCTTTCCGTGTCGAGGTCGCCGGTCCATTCTTCTTTCAGCGTGGAAATCAGAACGAGTGTGTTTGGCGCTTCGAATTCATTTGTCTCGCAGGCAAATTGTTAACCCTTTTTTTTTCAGTTGCCACAGTTTCGTTACGAACCTTAGCCAACGACATCCGTTCAAACCGTATATATACGTAACCATCGGAAAAGGCAGCAGGTATTTACATTGGCGGTGGAGCGGCGGCCATGTTGGCTCGCGTGTGTACTTTATGAACGCACGATTTGTAGCTTTTGATGGTTATCAAAGCGCGCGTACACGATTTTCCATTCGGCGGAAAATTAATTGCGATTCTCGACAGGGTAAGCTACAGCATGGTAGTGGAATAATTAACAGAGATACGGGAAATAAGCTTGTTAACAGAATCGAGACACAGGCTAGCGGATCGTGTTTCTTTTTTGCATTATCCTTCTTTTTTTTTTTTTTTTTTTTTTTGGCGAAGGG